TTTCTATTTTTAGTAGAGACAGGGTCTCGCTCTTGTTGTAGGCTGGTTTCGAACTCCCTGACTTGAGCGATTCTCCCGCCTCAGCCTTCCAGAGTGCTAGGATTATAGGCATGAGCCACGATGCCTGGCCGAAGATGCTAATTTTTGAGCTGAGCTTTGACAAGTGTAAAGGAGTTTCCCAGGGGAGTGAATGGGAAAGGGCATTTTAGGTACAAAGAAAGGCAGCGTGCCAATGTGCCAACTAGGAGGAATGTCAAAAGAATAGGGCACAGTAGTAAGTGTGGCTGGAGCAGAGTGCAAGAAGCAGAGGAAGAGCCTGAAGTGAGATGAGCAACGAAGGGGTGGGGCCAGTCGCGATGAGTGCTGGGCTGGAGTATGCAGTAGTATCTAGTAGGTAGAATTTTAAAGATTTGGAGATGAGGAAACTCCTGAGTAAAATTATGGCTACATATATCAGGGGCTTACCATGCAGGCAGCTGTTTGTTAACCGGCAAATATGGAACAACCTATACACTCAAGCACTTTTTCTTGTGAGGTTATTCTTTGGTAAAGACAGTCTCACTCTGTTCACCTGGGCTGGAATGCAGCAGTTCCATCATAGCTCACTGCAGCGTAATTTCTGGTTCAAGGACCTGTGTTCAGCCTCCCAGTCACATGGGGGACTACAGGCACATGCCACATGCAGATAATTCTTAACGTTTATTTTCTTGTAGAGATGGAGGGGGTCTCTCTCTGTGTATCCAGGCTGGTCTCAAACTCCTGCCTAAGTTGATCGCTCCACTCAGTCCTCCAGGAGTCGCTGGAGATACAGGTGGCCACACGCCTAGCTGCAGGCACTTTTTTTTTTTTTTTCTTTTTGCGCCTTCGAGACAGAGTCTCGCGTGGTCAGGCTAGAGTGAAGTGCGTGGCGTCTAGCTCACAGCAACCTCAACTCCTGGTGAGTGATCCTCTGCTCGCCGTCCCGATAGCTGGGACTACAGGCATGCACCCATGCCGGCAATTTTTAGCGGTAGATATATCAGTTGGCCAATTAATTTCTTTCTATTATAGTAGAGAGCGGTCGTCGCTCTTGCTCAGGCTGGTTTTGAACTCGACCTGAGCAACCGCCCGCCTCGCCTCCCAAGAGCTAGGATTAGCAGGCGGTGAGCCACCAGCGCCGGCTGCAGGACTTTTTATCTATTTCCCTCTCCAGCTTGAACGTGAACTTCTTCAGGCAGGGATGGGTGTGTCTGATTTCATTTCTGTGTCCCACGCAGAACGGCTACAGGTCAGGGGACTCAAGACACATGCACTGAATTGAGTGAGTTAGAAGCCCAGGCAGATGGGAGCACAAACCCGCCCTCAGCCATGGGTCTTTCGTGGTTTCTGAGATTGGGTGCGGTGCTGGTCAGCTAAAGTCTATATCTTGCAAGAGCCCCATCACACTCTTCTCCTGATGCAGTGTTAGGGATTGCTTCAGACCGGACAACTCATGGCTCATGGCAGGTTTTGCTCAGGAGATAAGCAGCCCGCCTGGGGCATGTGGACGAACTGACTGTTGAGGCCAGCTCACAAAGGGAAGCATCTAGCCATGGGTGAGCAGGGCTTCTAGGCCCAGGTAATATGAGCCGAATCGATCAAATATTATATTTTTTAGGAGATATTATATTGTTGGGAAGCTTTGGCAGAGGGGGGGCGGGAATCAAAGTAATAAAGCCTCAGTACCATGAGTGAGCTCTGACTTGCATGCTACGAGACTGTGTTATGTGCTCTACACTTTGCGTTTTAAGTCTCAACGTGTCACTTCCCAAATGCAACCCCTCCGTATCTCCCCAACCTTGATGCCGGCCCCTCACGTTGGGTCTTTCACTCCAAGTCGATTTACACCCGAGCAGCCAGATGTAACGTCTAGGACATACGCAGGTTATGTCTACTGTCCTGTCAAACCCTCCAGTGGCTCTGGATCACACTATAATTAAACCACAGTCCTTACATAGGCTACCTCAGTTTTGTCTTTTTCTTTTTGTTTTTTTCTTCTCTTTTTTATGTCTCCCGATCATGTCCTGATCGCTGTGCACTGCTCCATCTTGTTGCCCACGCTGGGCCCAGCTGCTCTTTTCTTCCTCTGTCCCTCCAACTCACCAACTGTGCCCTCCCTGTGGGCATTTGCATCGCTCTTCCCGCTGCCGGCACTACCGATATCCGTGGTGACTCGGTCCTTCAGGTCTTACCTGCTCAAGAGGGTCTTCCCGGGCCACCTGAATCAGGCCACACACGTCACTCTCTGACACATCAGCGCTCTTTTGTTCCTAGGACTTACTACCATCTGACTTGCCCGGGTTCCACTTTACTTTTCCGCTCGCTTACTTTTTGTTTAGCCTCTCCCAGCAGAACCACCTGTCCTGAGCAGCGACCTTTGCCTGTCTCTCCTCCCGTGGCACCTCCAGGCCGTGCGCAGGCTTGTCCCGAGCAGGCTCCATTGACATGTGCGAGCTAACGGGTGCGGCTCCCGGCACCCGCCGGGCCGGCCCTGGATCCGCCGCCCCCGCAGGGCTGGCTGGCGTGGAGAAGCTAATCCAAACGTGGCCAACAGATGGGGTGTTGGAGCCAGAGCTTGACACAGCTTTTTATTCGTTCTCCCAGTTTTGCTGTAGGAATAGGATTAGCGTATACGTCCCAGCAAGTGATAAGGTAAAGCTCTGTTAGTTACAGTTTCAGATTTTGTTTCTCTGTCGGCAGTCCTGGAGCAGCCTTTTGCTGGGTTATCCAACATGGCTAAGGGTGTGCTCAGAGAGGTTGGCTGGGATCCTGCACCTGTCCCCTTCCACACCGACCCCACAGTGGGCCTCTCCAGCCCAAGTCGCACCTTCCACACGCCGGCGGAAAGCCTTTGCTGGCTCCCATTGCCCCCAGGTGAGGACCAGATGCTTTACGAATGGGAAGATGAAGCCGGGTGACAAGCAGCTGTCACACAGCTGTCCTGTTGTACCTCGAGCAAGCCTGCCCAAAGGCAGGCGAGTATCGTTGTCCTCACCTAACAAATGAAAAAAGTGATGGTCAGAGGTTAAATGCTTGCCGCAGGAACTGAGCCAGGAGCCACCGCAGGACTGCACACGGTCTGGGGGCTGCTCAGGATGGGCCATCTCCAGCGGCAGGCCGCCTCCCTCCGGCAAGAGCCACGTCCTCGCTCCTACGGGTGCTCCGGGCTCGCCTTGCCCAACCAGGGCAAGGCGCTGGTCAAAGGCAGGTGATCTGCCCTGCGAAACTCCTATTTCTTGGCTAAGAAAAAAAGTTTCAACTTGCCTTTAACCGCGGTCCACTTTCTCTGAGCTCATCAGACATTTAGCTTGTTGGGGAGGGTTCCTTTTCCACAAAGAAACGGGGTTCTTAAAAATCACTTTTTGTCAATAATTGTATAACAACAGTAAAAGACTACATTGTGGCAGTTTTGTTAAGGTTACCAGGCACTGGTGCTCAGGTGCTTTGCACGCATTATTTCACATTTCTGAAGTTCATTAATTGAATTTATTTGAGTAAAGAACCCCCTACACATTAAGAAAAAATGAGATTGGAAAAAGGTGTATGGTGAAAAAGTAGCTTCCCTTTTCCTCTGCACGTTCCTGTCTCCTACTTCCTCCCAGAGACACACGTCACCAGTTTTTCTTTGTATATCCTGCAGAGTCACGAATACTACTGTTGTCATTCGGTCCCCTCAACGCCATTGGAGCATTCAAGGTGTTTTGTCCTGGAATCACATGTTATGGAAACTAAAGGTTCAGAGACAGAAGTCAACTTTACACCAAGGTCAACATGTCAAGCAGCAGAGCTGGGAGGTAGCTCAGATGGGCTTGATGGTGACTCCATGTGTCCAGGGCCACCCTGCTCCCAAACAAGGAGGAGAGCAGAGAGGTGAGATTGAAGGCTGTGCGGGCAGCCAAGGGAAAAATGGGCTTTTGCTGCAACTTGGGTCATTGCCAAATTCAGATTTGCCTCTCAGTAAAATGAAATTGTGAACCTGTCCAATAACTTTTGAGTTAGTTTATTAAGTCAAAAACCTCAAATATTAACAGTCGAATTACCGTCATGGTTTTCTGTTCTGCTTTTTTCCCATAATGCTCCTGTTTCCGTGAGGCATCATTTGACCAGCGGGAGTCTGACCAGTGTGAGGGCGTGGATCGTGGAGCGCAGCGCTGTAGCTGCAAAACCCAGGGCCCCACTGCCTTCTGGCTGCCTGGCTGGGCAGGTCTGGACCCCTTCCTGTTGCCTCAAGGATCGTGCTTGTAAAATGGGAATATGTGCCATCTCCCTCAAAACGTTTGGGGATCCCCAAAGCGGTATGAAGGCCAAATGGTGAGATAGCAGAGCCCCAGGCAACTGGTAATTATTTTTTATATAACAGTAAAGGAAAGTTGGAGGAAATACTGGTAGTTTACTTGGACGTGGAACAAGTCAGCTTAATTACACGCTACTATCGTGTTTACTTTCTTCCCATCCTACCCAACCAAACCTGCATTTGTAAATATTTTGACAGTTTACAGAATCCTTCTGTTATCTCCAAAAAAAAAACAGATGAAATTAATTTTTTTTTTGAGACAGAGTCTGGCTCTGTCACCCAGGCTAGAGTGCAGTGGGGTCATGTATAGCTCTTTGTAACTTCAAACTCCTGGGCTGAAGCAATCCTCCTGCCTCAGCTTCTCGAGTAGCTGTTACTACAGGTGTGCAGCCACCATACCTGGCTAATTTTTTCTATTTTTAGTAGAGACCAAGTCTCACTTTGCTCAGGCTGGTCTCAACTCATGGCCTCAAGGGATCTTCCCGCCTCGGCCTCCCAGAGTGATAGGATTACAGGCGTGAGCCACTGCACCCAGCTAAAATTAATTTTAATAATATATTTTGAGCCCAGTATACCCAAAATATTATTACTTTGACATATAACCAATATAAAAATTATTTATAAGATACTTTACATTCTTTTTTTTTGTATTATACTAAGTCTCTGAAATGTGGTATGTATTTTACAGCACATCTCAATTTGAGCTACCTGTTTTCAAGTGCTTACAGCCACATGTGGCTAGTGGCTACTGTATTGGAGAGCACAGGTCTGACATGGAAACATCACTGGGGCATACTGTTAAGTGAAAAAGGAAGTTGCAGTGCCGTATGTACAGTATGAACTATTAATGTAAGGGAAAAAACTATTTCCACAGGAACGTATTGGGGAAAACAAGAAAAAACGAAGATGTGTACTGATACATACCCAATTTAAAGATAAGTTTTAGATGGGGTGAGGGGTTATTGTTTAGGAGGGGCTCCTCACCTGATTTGTTAAAATATTTTATTTTGGATTAATTTTGAATATACAAAAAGTGGCAAAAATACTCCAGAGAGTTCCTATATGTCCCTCACCCAGTTTCCACTACTGTTAACATCTTATATTAATGTGGTATTATACATTTGTCAAAATTAGAAGCTCACCATTGGTACATTACTATTACTAAATGCCAGACCTCACAGTCTTCCCACTGAAATGTGCTTTTCTGTTCCAGGATTCAGTGCAGGATCCCACACTGCATTCATTTAGCGTGTCTATCCTGGCTCCTCTGCTCTGTGACAGTTTCTCAGTCTTTCCTTGTTTCCCATGACCTTGACAGTCTTGAGCAGTACTGGCCAGGTATTCGGTAAAGTGTCCCTCAGTTTGGAGATTATGTCCCTAGATGGGGATTATGGGTTTGGGGAAGAATACCCCCAAGGCGAGTGCCCTTCTCATCACGTCACACTGGGGCACGTGGCATCCCCAGGGCTCACCACTGGGGATGTTGGCCTTGAGTGCTGGTTAAGGTGGCGTTTGTCGGTGTCTCTCTGTGAACTGCTGTTTTTCCCTTTCCATCCTCTACTCTTTGCAGTAGCTAAATCCAGACTGCACTCAAAGATTAGGGGACTGGGAATGAATTAAACCCACCTCCTAGAGGGTGGAGTATCTACTTATATTATTTGGAAATCTTTAAGGAAGATTTGTCCCTTCTCTCCCATTTATTTTGATTATTTATATCAATGTGGACTCACATAAATTTATTAATATTTTATACATTGGGTTTTGATCAATCTGATTATTTTTTCCACAGCAAAGATAAATTTATGTACTGTGTATTTTTTAATACAGAAAACATACAGGCCGGGCGCTGTGGCTCACGCCTGTAATCCTAGCTCTTGGGAGGCCGAGGCGGGCGGATTGCTCAAGGTCAGGAGTTCAAAACCAGCCTGAGCAAGAGCGAGACCCCGTCTCTACTATAAACAGAAAGAAATTAATTGGCCAACTGATATATATATATAAAAAAATTAGCCGGGCATAGTGGCACATGCCTGTAATCCCAGCTACTCGGGAGGCTGAGGCAGAAGGATCACTCGAGCCCAGGAGTTTGAGGTTGCTGTGAGCTAGGCTGACGCCACGGCACTCACTCTAGCCTGGACAACAAAGTGAGACTCTGTCTCAAAAAAAAAAAAAAAAAAAAAAGAAAACATACAAATAACTGTGTTGTGTGAGAAACAAGTTTTATGATTGGCAAGGTGTTTTCTTTCACAGCTCTTCACAACTGCCTTTGAGTAGGATAGTCATTGGCTTATTGCTTATTCAACTAGTAAACTTAGACAAACTACTTTAACTCTCAACTTCCTCACCTAAATAAGAGGATGTTTTGTGAAATGGTCTCAGAGGAGAAGAAGGGGATGATGTTTGTATAAGTGTCCAGGTATTTTGTTGTCTAATAATAGACCTTGGCTAGGTGCGGTGGCTCACGCCTATAATCCTAGCACTTTGGGAGGCCAAGGTTCGAGGATCGCTTGAGCTTGGGAGTTTGAGACCAGCCCAGGCAAGAGCAAGACCTCATCTCTACTATTATAAAAATAGAAAAATTAGCTGAGCATCATGGTGCATGCCTGTAGTCCCAGCTCCTCAGGAGGCTGAGGCAACAGGATCACTTTAGTCCAGGAGTTTGAGGTTGCTGTGAGGTATGATGACTCTCCTGCACTCTATCCAGGACTACAGAGCTATACACTGTCTTAAAATAAAAAAATAAATAGACCTTAAGTCCTTAATGGTCATCTTCTTTTATTTATGTTAGAAAATGAACTCAGAGCTAATAATTCTTGAGAACATCCTGTAAACATAATCAATATTTATATCCCCTATTACAACCCCAAGTAGTTCTCCTTCCCTGCTTCTTTACCCCAGTAAGTGGAATTTACTTTTCCTCTTCTTAGCTTTTTCTCCAGTGGTTGAAATCTAACCGGTGGCCTGGCATTCAAGGCCCTGCCCTAGCAAGCATCTCCTGACTCCTTTGGTCTCATTCTTGTGCCTCTCATCTACCTGTGCTACAGCCACGCTGACGTCTTCATCACTGTGTGCCCCCAAATTCCTGTGTTGAAGTCCTAACCCCCAGTATGTCAGAAGGTGACTATATTTGGAGACAGGGCCTTTAAAGAGGTAATGAAGGTAAAATGGCGTCCTTGTAAGAAGAGAGTAGGACACACACATCGACGCACACAGACGATGTAAGCACACGGCAGGAACGTGGCCATCTGCAAGCCCGGGAAAAAGGCCTCATTGAGAAACCAAACCTGCTGACACCCTGATCTCAGACATCTAGTCTCCAGAAGTGTGACAAAATAAATTTCTGTTATTTAAGCCACCCAGTCTGTGATACTTTGTTATGGCAGCCTAGTAGAAGCTAATACACACTCCCATGAATTAAAATGCTTCCCGAATACGTCCCTTCTCTATGCCAAGCCTTGTGACACATCCCAGGCCACAGAGATGAACTGGATACCAAGGCCTTGATTCATTCTGACGTGATAGGGGGTGACTGGGGCCCTGTGGGAGCACAGTGGGCAGACCTGGCCTGGATGGGACCAGGAAAGGCTTGGCAGAGATGCTAATTTTTTTTTTTTTTTTTTTTGAGACAGAGTCTCACTTTTTCCCCGGGCTAGAGTGCCATGGCGTCAGCCTAGCTCACAGCAACCTCAAACTCCTGGGCTCAAGCAATCCTTCTGCCTCAGCCTCCTGAGTAGCTGGGACTACAGGCATATACCACCATGCCCTGCTAATTTTTTCTATATATATTTTTAATTAGCCAATGAGTTTCTATTTTTAGTAGAGACAGGGTCTCGCTCTTGTTTAGGCTGGTTTCGAACTCCTGACCTTGAGCGATTCTCCCAGAGTGATTCTCCCAGAGCGATTCTCCCACTTCCAGAGTGCTAGGATTATAGGCATGAGCCACCATGCCTGGCCGAGATGCTAATTTTTGAGCTGAGCTTTGACAAGTGTAAAGGAGTTTCCCAGGGAGTGAATGGGACAAGGGCATTTTAGGTACAAAGAAAGGCACGTGCCAATGTGCCAACTAGAGGAATGTCAAAGAATAGGGAACAGTAGTAAGTGTGGCTGGAGCCAGAGTGCAAGAAGCAGAGGAAGAGCCTGAAGTGAGATGAGAACAAGGTGGGGCCAGTCGATGAGTGCTGGGCTGGGAGTATCTAGTAGTATCTAGTAGTAGAATTTTAAAGATTTGGAGATGAGGAAACTCCTGAGTAAAATTATGGCTACATATATCAGGGGCTTACTATGCAGGCAGCTGTTTGTTAACCGGCAAATATGGAACACCTATAACACTCAAGCACTTTTTCTGTGAGGTTATTCTTTGTAAAGACAGGTCTCACTCTGTCACCTGGGCTGGAATGCAGCAGTTCCATCATAGCTCACTGCAGCCTCTAATTTCTGGTCTCAAGGGATCCTCGTGTTTCAGCCTCCCCAGTCACTGGGACTACAGGCACATGCCACCATGCCCAGATAATTTTTTCTTAACGTTTATTTTTTTGTAGAGATGGAGGGGGTCTCTCTCTGTTACCCAGGCTGGTCTCAAACTCCTGGCCTCAAGTGATCCTCCCACCTCAGCCTCCAGAGTCGCTGGAACTACAGGTGTAAGCCACACGCCTAGCTGCAGGCACTTTTTATCTATTTCCCTCTCCACTTGAACGTGAACTTCTTCAGGGCAGGGATTGTGTCTGATTCATTTCTGTGTCCCCAGCAGAGACTGGTACAGGTCAGGGGCTCAAGACACATGCACTGAATGAGTGAGTTAGAAGCCCAGGCAGGAGTGGGAGCCAAACCCGCCCTCAGCCATGGGTTTTTCGTGGTTCTGAAGTTGGTGCTGGGTCAGTAAAAGTCTATACGTGCAAGAGCCCCATCACCTCCCTCCTGATGCAGTTAGGATTGCTTCAGACCCGGACAACGCATGGCTCATGGCAGGTTTGCTTCAGAGATAAGCAGCCCGCCTGGCCATGTGGGACGAACTTACGACTTGAGGCCAGCTCACAAAGGGAAAGCATCTAGCATGTAGCAGGGGCTTCTAGGCCAGTAATTGAGCCAATCGAATCAAATATTGATATTTTTTAGAGATATTAATATTTGGGGAAGCTGTGTGGCAGAGGGGAATCAAAGTAATTAAAGCCTCAGCTACCATGTAGTGAGCTCCTGCTGCATGCTAGAGACTGTGTTATGTGCTCTACACTTTTTGCCTTAGTCTCACTGTCACCTCCCAAATGCAACCCCACTCCGTAATCTCCCCAACCTTGATGCCAGAGCCCCTCACTTGGTCTTTTCCTCCAGTTGATTCTACACCCAGCAGCCAGAGTGAACGTCTAGGACATACCGCAGGTTATGTCACTGTCCTGCTCAAAACCCTCCAGTGGCTCTGATCACACTAAAATTAAAACCACAGTCCTTACATAGGCTACCCTGCATGTCCCGATCATGTCCTGATCGCTGGCACTGTCTCCATCTTGTTGCCCACCGCTGGCTCCAGCTGCTCTTTTCTTCCTCTGTCCCTCCAACTCACCAACTGTGCCCCTCCCTTGGGGCATTTGCATCCGCTCTTCCCGCTGCCCGGCACACTCCGATCATCCCGTGGTGACTCCGGGTCCTTCAGGTCTTACCTGCTCAGAGAGGTCTTCCCTGGCCACCCTAATCAGGCCCACACCCAGTCACTCTCTGACACATCAGCGCTTCTTTTGTTCCTAGGACTTACTACCATCTGAACTTGCCGCATTCACTTACTTATTCCCTCGCTTACTTTTTTTTGCCTCTCCCAGCAGAACACACCCTTCCTGGGAGCAGCAACCTTGCCTGTCTCTCCACCCGTGGACCTCCAGGGCCTGGCGCAGGGCTTGTCCCCGAGCAGGGCTCCATGACATGTGCGGACTGAATGGGTGGCCGGCTCCCCGGCACACCTCCGGGCCGGCCCGAGAGAGTCCGCGCGGCCCCGCGGCAGGCTGCGCTGCGTGGAGAAGCTAATCCAAAGCGTGTGGGCCAACAGATGGTGTGGAGCCCAGAGCTGAGGCACAGCTTTTATTCGTCTCAGTTTTGCTTAGAATAGGATTAGCGTAAGTACCGTCCCAGGCAAGTGGATAAGGTAAACCTCTGTTAGTTACATTCAGATTTTGTTTCTCTGTCGCAGTCTGGAGCCAGCCTTTTGCTGGGTTAGTCCGACCCATGGCTAAGGGTGCTGCTCAGAGAGGTCGGCTGGGATCCTGCCCTGTCCCCTGTCCACACCGACCCCACAGTGGCCTCTCCAGCCCCAAGTCGCACCTTCCACGCCAGGCGGAAAGCCCTTTGCTGGCTCCCATTGCCCCCAGGTGAGGCCAGATGCTTTACGATGGGGAAGATGAAGCCGGGGTGACAGCAGCTGTCACACAGCTGTCCTGTGTAACCCTCACGGCAGCCCTGCAAGGCAGGCGAGTATCCTCCTTACCTAACAAATGAAAAAGTGATGGCTCAGAGGGTTAAATGACTTGCCCAGGGCAACTGAGCCAGGAGGCCACACACAGACTGCACACCGGGTCTGGGGGCTGCTCAGATGGGCATTCCAGCGCAGGCCGCCTCCCCTCCGGCAAAGCAGCCACGCTCCTCGGGTGTCCCGGCTCCCGCCTCTGCCCAACCAGCAAGGCGCTGAGTCAAAGGCAGGTGTCTGCCCTGCGAAACTCCTATTTCTTGGCTAAGAAGTTTCACTTGCCTTAACCGCTCCACTTTCTCTGCAGCTCCATCAAGGAGCATTTAGCTTTTGGGAGGGTTCCTTTTCCACAAAGAAACAGGGTTCTTAAAAATCACTTTGTAGTAATGTGTATAACAACAGTAAAAGCTAACATTTGGAGTATTTGTTAAGTA